CTAATTTTACTGAACGTTATTCTATGTTACTTTTATTGTTCTGCTGATCTATAGTAAACGGAAAAGTGTTCTTAAAATAAGTTCTCTAAAACATGTTTAAGTCAGGACCATCGTCAGTGATTGTGTTCACGTCGCGTAAATTGTTTTCACATTGTCTTCAACTTCTCTTCTGAAGATAGGACTAATATGTTTGTGTAATAGTCCCAGTCTAAAGCTACTGGCCAAATTTGAGAGGAATGGTGTCTGGAAGGACCACTACAAAAGACACTCAGTAAGTACTGATCGGACAAAAGCAAACAGGCACTCTTTGATTCTGAGTAGCCAATTTCGAACATCTAGTCCTTTGACAGTACATGGCAATTATTTTTTTTTTTACAGAATTGATGATCGATTTGGAGGCTATCTACAAACCATCATCATTTAAATTTGATCCAGTGGCATACATAGCGGCGGCATTGTTTAATATTGCCAGAGACATAAATACATGTATGTCTCTGTTAGTGTATAGTTTCCATTGAAACCCTACAGAAAATCACATTTTCATCATTTTATCTTAAAGTAATTCATCGGCCAAGTTTTACAAAACCTAAAAAGAACGGGGTAGACGAGTTTCTAGACAAACCATCTCAGACGAAAACATGGACATCAGAGACATCTTTCATTCTGAATGCCAATTAAAAAATCTTCTATGAAACAAGGAATCATTGAATGAAACTACAAGGCGAAATTGTTTTCAATTTTGACAGGAATGATAGAAAGACCCTGCGCAAACGATCCTTAATATTGATTAGGTAACACACATGGTGGCCATTGGTGTCACATGTTCCATTGGAACTCTATGGAAAATCACATTTTCATCTTTCCGCAGAAATCACCATTAAAATGGGAAATAAACTTGGCAGGAATGATGCATTAAAGGACCTCTCCAAACTATCCTTATTTGGTTCTGACTACATACAAAAACATGGCCACCAATTATTGATTTTGATTATCCAATTTTCAAAAATCTTTTCTTCTGAAACTACAATTTTTTAATTTTTTCTGGAACTTGGCAGGTAAGACCCTTTGCTAATGGTACTCATTAAATATTGATCAGGTGGCAAGCATATTTGTATTTGTGGTACACAGCTCCCATTAAACCTCTGTTGAAATAAAATTTTCCTCGTCATCTCTTAAAACTGCTGTGGCAATTTTAACCAAACTTGCAGCAATGATATATGGAACATCCTCTATAAATGATCCTCATTTTGTTACAATAGGGTGAACAACATGGTTGCAAAATGCAATTTTTGGAAAATGACGCTGTCAAAGCGTCAATTTTACTATACCATTGACCAGATTTCATTTTATCGCTTCCGGTCGCTTCCAAGCCGCCTTCCGAACTCGGTTCCGTATTTTACACAACTATGTCCTGTACAGAATTTCATTCTTAACCTGACCATATGTTTATTGTTATTAAATGGTATTTTGAGCTATCCCTTTGGTATATTTTTCATATTTATATGAGCTTTCGCTTTTTTGTGCATGACATTCCATCCGTAAAAAAATAAGAATATAAATAGATCCGTATTGTTATGGTTTTGGACTTTTTACATACCAATGGTAACAAATCGCTATCGCTAGAAAATAGTTCTTGAAAGAATGATTACCTTTCTTGTCAGCTGAACTGTGAAATCATGCAAAAAATAATAAAATAATAATCGGAATCATCTTGAAATCATACGAAAGATAATGGTCTTTATCAAGATTTAAGGAGTTTTTAAGAATCGAAAATTAGTAATACGATTATATCCACGCGGTGCGTATGTAATTGTAAGTTACTGCTGCAGACTTAGTATAGGTCAAATATCGCAGGGGCCAGTTCTGTTAAAGAATACAATAGCGATAATTGCAGAAGTTTTTCTGTCAAAAAGACTTTATTTCTTTCTGGATTTCTTCACTTTAAAAAGAATTATAAGATGCAGAAATTTATGAAAGGAGTAGGCAGTGCTCAATGAATCATACCAAAAGTATTTTACCTTTCTCTGACAACGTGGTCTCGTCCATTTTTGAAACATTACGATTATTTCATTACTTTTTCGAGTTAACAACTAAACTATTGAACCTGTATTGTTTTGAGTAAAGCTTTCCCGTTGTCTAGGTGTTCATTACAAGCCCGTATTTTACGATTACTTTTTCAAAATCGGATACGAAAATTTCTTGAAAATAAATAAAAAGTATTGAGATTTGCCATCCACTTTTCAATAACTATTAATTAAATATTTATTTAAAATCAATGTTAACTGAGGGTGACTTGGATAAGGAATGGCATTTAATGATTCCTAGAGATACAGCCAAATGTGTAAACAGGAAGTTGTGAAGGGAGACAATTTCAAAAGTGCTAAAACAAGTATTGTCAAACCTTGTAAAATATTTCTGGTGGCAATAATTCACATATTCATAAAATAACCAAACACAACTTTTAAAGGTGGTTGTTATGTTTCAATTGGCAAACATTTATTTATTAATAATAAAAAAAAAAAACTTCTTAAAAAACAAATTTCTATCATATTTATCTTGGAATATGATCAAATATGTTAGCCTATTTTAAACATGCCTTTAATAACATTTCAGTACTTATGGAAAGAGTTATTCCATTTCTTCCTTTGATATTTAAGGATATACCAATTTTAATTGCAAAATTGTAATTGATAAATGTAAATAAAAATTAATGAAGAAATTCCAATTTTGTCATTGTAAACCTTCTTAAATATGTGTATAAGTAAATTATGAAGCTGTAAAGGATATATAACTAGTGTATAAGTCAAACAACTGAAAGTGAGAAAAAAAGATATACCTTCTGTGCTACATTTGGGGACGGGTGGTAATAAAATCAAATTATTTAAGTTATTTAGGCATTTTAATTTTTAAAGTTTAATTAATAATTGAAATGTCACTTATTTGCATTTCAGTTAATGCACATGGCACATGTATAAAAAATCCAGGTCTTTGTCTATTCAATAAAATAAAACTAACATGGTAGTTATAAATAAATATATGTAACATCAAGTCACAAACATGAAACTTAAGGTGAATCAATCTTAAATCGGGCGCTAATACCACAGCGCTATAAAAAAATCCTGGGGAGAACACTGGATTGTATTGCTTTCAGAGTTATATAATACACCTTGCCTAAGAAAAAGGTCTAGCTAGGTCCTTAAAAAATGAGGCTATAATGATGTAAAGTGACTTATAACTGCCAACAGCCACATTATTTAGACTCTGGTGGATAGCTAGCTAGTTATCAGACTGTTATCTCATTGGCAATCATGTTACCACATCTCCTTATTTTAGTACGGGTTAATTATTTGAAATAAATGACTCACAAACATTAAATCATTTGAAAAAAAGATAATTCTGCAATAATTTATGTTGTCATTTAAAGATTTCAGTTTATATATATATATAAATATCAACAGTGAAATTTGGTTGAATAAATGGTGTCACTATATTTGTAATTGTCAAACTAGTATAACAATACTATTGTCTAAATCTACAGAATTTGATCATCCTTTAAGTAACAGAAATAACAATGTCACTAAGTCACTTGTAACTTATCTCTTAAATGAGGACTATGTGGGGTATAAGAGTTTGCTTACTGCAGGCTCTTCATCATCATTTTGTTAAATAATTCTACAAAGAAGGGGATAGTCTGTTAATGTATCCTTGACTAAGAATAATGAAATTGCAAGAAACAAATTCACATATTACTTTGAATATTGTAGATCGTTCAGGTAGTCTTGAGCTATTTCTTTATACAAAAGAAACAACCAGTATATAAATATAGTCATGTTACACCACTGTCCCAGGTAAGGGAAGGGTTGGGATCCCGCTAACATGTTTAATCCCGCCACATTCGGTATGTATGTGCCTGTCCCAAGTCAGGAGCCTGTAATTCAGTGGTTGTCGTTTGTTGATGTGTTACATATTTGTTTTTCGTTCATTTTTTTGTACGTAAATTAGGCTGTTAGTTTTCTCGTTTGAATTGTTTTACATTTGTCATTTCGGGGCCTTTTATAGCTGACTATGCGGTATGGGCTTTGCTCATTGTTGAAGGCCTTACGGTGACCTTTAGTTGTTAATTTTTGTGTCATTTGGTCTCTTGCGGAGAGTTGTCTCATTGCCAATCATACCACATCTTCTTTTTTATATTCACTTCACACATATATATATATATCTTGACAAACAAATAAAAAAGCCATAGACATTGAAAACAATTCATTTCTATTCTATTGTCAGTCAGCATACCTACCATGAACTGAAAAGTCTCTTAAGATTCAGTAGGTAAATTATGTGAAAATCAAGACTTGCATCAAAAATATCCCAATATTAGAGACAATGGCGTCATTTTTCCTCAGAGCTTTCAGCTCTTTGATTGAATATGATTGGCCAATTTTTAAATAATTTCTCCAATTTTGTTCCTGCATAAAGTACTAAAACAATATTTCAATTTGGGAGCTCATATGGTTTTTCAAAAGTTTAAGTTGATAATACACAAAAACAAACCTAGGCCTGGTTAGGGTGGGTAATGGAAACCTCTAATCAAATTGGGTATTCAAAGAAGGTTTTTAAGAAATTTTAGCTGCAAAGCCCCATGCCCCTTTTAACATCTTACAAGAACATAAGTTATTTTCTTCCATTGAAACCCTACAGAAAATCACATTTTCATCATTTTATCTTATAGTAATTGCCAAGTTTTACAAAACCTGAAAATAACGGGGATAGACGAGATAAAAGATGAGCAAAAACAGGTTGTTGGTGTAATTTGCTCGTTCAATATTTTTTTTGAAGACACCTTTTCTGATTTTGTCTTCTGCTAACTACATTTTTTTATGTTGTATATATAGAATCTTATGTTATTAAAATCATGCTCTTTATTGGTGGAAACATTGAGGATGTTCTACAAAGCTGAATTCTGGTTTTAAGATAAGGTAAGGTCATGCAGATAGAAAACAATATGGTATGTATGACTGCTATTTATTTATAATGCAGTATATAATGAAAAGCACACAGCTGAATATTGCACATATGCATGAATATGTAAAAAGCAATAATCTAATAAAATGTACTAAAATATATTTGTAAACACTAAAAAATATAAAGAAATATAAAAAAATGTGGATAGTGTCCACATGTGGACACATATAATGCCCCCGCTTGCATATCATATAGTTATAAAGGGACATAACTGAAGAACGGTAAAAGTGACGCTACCCAAATTTGAACTTGATCTGAGTTTTGTGGTAATAAGCATTGTGTGTAAGTCTCATTACATTTGGTTGAGGCTAACTTAAGTAGAGAACAGAAACTAAAAATTCTGCATTTTTTCTATTTGTAAACAGACATAACTCTAGAACGGTTGTGTATAAGTTTTATAACATTTGGTTGAGACAAACTAGAGTTAGAGAACAAAAACTAAAAAATTCAGCAATTTTTATGTTTATGAAGGGACATAACTCAAGAATGGTAAAAGTGTCCCCACCAAATTTCGTACTTAATTTGTATTATGTAGTAATAAGCATTGTGTATAAGTTTCATAACATTTGGTTGAGGCAAACTAAAGTTAGAAAAGGGAAACAAAAAATTTGTACTTGATCTTAGCTTTGTGGTAATGAATATTGTGTATAGGTTTCATAATGTTGGTTGGGGGAAACTTAAGTTACAGAATGGAAACTAAAAATTTTGCAATCTTTCGATTTATAAAGGGGCATAACTCAATAATGGTTAAAGTGACACTACCCAAATTCAACTTGATCTGTGTTTTATCAGTGGAAGTCAAAATTAAACATTGCATTGTATAAAGCATTGGTTGTTGTTGATTCAACTATAATCATGGACAAGTGCAGATAACTGCAATTTTAAAAATTACTTGATATTTAGAAGAAAATAAAAATTTTGCAATTTTTCCATTTATAAAGGGGCATAACTCTAGAACAGTTAAAGTGAATCCACCAAAATTCAAACTTGATCTGTGTTTTGTGGTAATAAGCATTGCGTATAAGTTTCATAACATTTGGTTAAGGCAAACTTAAGTTAGAGAACGGAAACTAAAAATTTGGCAATTTGTCCATTTATAAAGGGGCATAACTCTAAAATGGTTAAAGTGATGCCACCAAAATTCAAACCTGGTCTGTGTTTTGTGGTTATAAGCATTGTGTATAAGTTTCATAACATTTGGTTGAGGCAAACTAAAGTTAGAGAACAGAAACTAAACATTTTGCAATTTTTCCATTTAGAAAGGGGCATAACTCTAGAACAGTTAAAGTGACGCCACCAAAATTCAAATTTGATCTGTGTTTTGTGGTAATAAGCATTGTGTATAAGTTTCATAACATTTGGTTGAGGCAAACTCAAGTTAGAGAAAAGAAACCAATTTTGGGACGTATGTACAGACGGACAAGGATAAAACTTAATGCCCCCACCGCTACGGAAGAGGCATAAAAAGAGTATATAAAAAATGCTTCGCTGAGCGCAGCCAGATACGACCACAGAGATTTAACCCTGAACAGTTGGGGCAAGTTTGGACACAATATTCAAGCTTGATTCTGTCTGAATTTGGATTGTGATCAAATTTTTGACATAATATAGGTTTCTGACACAAAATAAATGTGGTCAAAGGTCTTAAAAATTTGAAATGGGACATTTAATTTACCTTGAATGGTCTGATATCCAAAAACTAACAACATGGTTTGATTCAACATATAAAAAAACAAGTTTAATTTTAGACCCTTCAAACCTTAATATGGATTAATTTGAAAACAGGGCCCAAAATAAAAAATATAAATGCACAATAAGATTCAGCATATCATACAGCTGCAATAATTCAGTTTTTGATGAAATCAAACAAAGTTTAATTTTGGACCCTTTTGACCTCAATTTAGACCAATTTAAAAATGGGGCCCAATATACAAAAAAGTAATAAAAGGTTAGAACCGCCAAAAATTAAAGACTAAATTAATCCCAATGAAATTGGTTAAAAGATTTGTATTTATTTTCAATTGAAGATTTCTTGCTATTGCACAATATTGTGCAATTTAAGATTAATTGGTATTGCACAATACTGTGCAATTTAAGATTTCTTGCTATTATGCAATACTGTGCAATTGAAGATATCTTGCTATTGCGCAATATTGTGCTATTGCGCATTACTGTGCAATTAAAGATTTCTTATTATTGCGCAATACTGTGCTATTGCTCAATACTGTGCTATTGCGCAATATTGTGCAATTGAAGATTTCTTGCTATTGCGTAATACTGTGCAATTGAAGATTTCTTGCTATTGCCCAATACTGTGCTTTTGCGCAATACTGTACAATTGAAGATTTCTTGCTATTGCGCAATACTGTGCAATCATTTGAAATTTCAAAAATTTTGAAGAAAAGAAATATGAACCCCCAAAAAAAATTGGAAAAAAAAAATCCCCCCAAACTTTTTGAACTCCCAAATTAATCCCAAATTGTGGTATGGAACCTTGTAGTACAATTTTAGAGAGATCCATACACATAAACACAAGTTACTGTCTGGAAACTAGAAAAATGCTTGTTTTTGGCCCCTTTTTTGCCCCTAATTCCTGAACTGTTGGGGCAATTACCACCAAACTCAATCCCAGCCATCCCTTTGTGATATGGAACCTTGTGGTATACAATTTCTGAGAGATCTATACACTAACACACAAGTTATTGTCCGTAAACTACAAAAATGCTTGTTTTTGGCCCCTTTTTGTCCCCTTATTCCTTAACTGTTAGTACCATAACCCCCAAAGTCAATCCCAACCTTCCTTTTGTGGTATTGAACCTTCTGGTAAAATTTCTCAGAGATCCATTTACTTAAACTAAAGTAATTGTCCAGAAACCAAATGTGTCTTCGGACGACGACGACAACACCATAGCATTATACGACGCAAAAAAGTTTTTGCGGTCGTATAAAAACTAGACATCTGTGACTCTATTGACATCAAATTTTACTACATTTTTATTGGTTAGCAGAGGATAGGTTGGACTTATAACTTTAACAAGATTGAACTCATATCAAAATGCAAGAAAAAATAATACATATTTTGTAACTAAGGCAGATTTAAAAAAAATGTTTATACTGTACTGACCTGTATCCTTGACAAATAAAAAAAGTATCTGCACTGCATATATATCTCTGATACAGCCTTGACAACATCTATTACTTGATCAGTTAAAGCTATACAATATAGAGAATATTTCTTTGAAACATGACAAGAATCTGATGTTGACACCAACATTAATATCATATGGTCCATCAAACAAATAGCATAAATAATTAGATATACAAACACTGAAGTTACATACAATCATATTCTTAGCTTTATAATGGCTGCAGAAAAGGCTTTTTATTCAAGTAAATGTAATAGGTTTTCAGGGGCGGATCCAGCCATTTTCAAAAGGAGGGTTCCAACCCAGGATAAAGGGGGGGGGGGGGTTCCAACCATATGTCCCCATTCAAAAGCATTGATCGTTAAAAAAAAAAGGGGGGTTCCAACCCCCCGGAACTCCCAAGAATCCACCACTGGGTTTTTCTATGTTATATAAAGCAAGGATATCTTTCATTAGAAAGTTACAAAAAAAACATATTTTCCATTATGGTAACAAACAGAGGACAATGTCAAACTGTTACTTGGATTAAATGTTTAACCATTAGTTTGTTCATCTTCACAGTTACCTAAAAAAATAAGAATGTCTTAAATAAATTCTTTCAATTCTGAAATTCTCTACTTAATAAAAGTGATCAGAATTAAGGAACATATCCAAATTTTGTGTTTAAAGAGAACCAATTAATCTTTCCCTTGCATGACAAATTCTAAATACTCTACCCTTACTCAGACAACAGTGCACTGTGCTAATGAAATAATGTTCACTGAACAGAAACAAATGTAAGCACTTGAATATGGACTAAAGTAACAATCTATAATCTTTCTATCTGGCTAAATTTGATGATGCAGTGGTACTGTAAATTCAGAAATAAATGAGTACATTTATTATTGCAAATCCATTGGCTATAATGCAAAAATTAAGTAATGCAATTGAAAAATGTTTATTAAGGAAAATCACTACTGAAATCATAAATGCTAGTTTTTTTTATTTTTGCAAACCTGATAGTCGCATTTTTCGCACTAATAAAAACATCACAATAATTTCTGAATCTACAGTATGATGAAGCATTTATACAAATAGGGTTCCTGTGATATATGATTTTTAAAGACATTACACATGGTTCTGGCATCTGCATATTAATTATTTATATATATATATATATAATGTACAATGTATAAGTAAAGTAGGTCTCACATACTCTTGCAGTCTTTGTACAGTTTTAAGGCAAATATTATATGCATAAAATGATAGCTAGTGATAGATTTGATCCAAATGCTGAAAGTTGTGTATAACTGTCTGAAAGTTTATGATAAAATAACAATTTTTTCTTAAAGAAATAGGCAAATGAAACATTGACTAAACTCATTCCTAAGGCATGTTTGCATGTTTATATATTTTTATAGTTTGCAACAAACTCATTTTGGGTCATTTTAAATCCATCATTTCACATTTTAAACCTAAATTCAGGATAAACAATTAAATCTCATTCTTTTTAGTTTTTCTAAACATTAGCATCTAGTGATACAAATACTAAAGTATGTCAAATAGATTTTTATTGCTTACAACAGTAGATAAAGTTGTAAAAATTCAGATCTTATTTAAAATTAATAACAAAAAATATGAAATGATTTAGTATTCCACTCTAAACAAATGAATTTGTCAATGTAACAAGAAAATTTAAGTAATTAGTGGCACAAACTTTACAGAGATTCTTCACTTTGTGAAAAAACATTTCTTTTTATATAAAAATGTTCAAGCATCTTATACAATGACTGTAATTAAAGCATAGTATAAGTAAACACGAAACATATGGGACTAATATTCTAGGCTACTGAACTAAAACTAACTACAATAAAATGTGCATTTAAGTGACTGGTATTCAGTTTTTTTGTTAATTTTAGGAATGATGATCATATCATCCTAAATGCATAATACATGTATTACTCAAATCTGTAAAGGACTTTGGATGAAGAATTCCCATCTTATAACATATTAAACCAAGTTCAGTGATGGCAGCTACCTTAGATTTCAAATTAGCATCATTCACAAATATAATGTTTTAGTACCTTCATAACATCTTACATGTGCAATATTACCGAAGTCTTTGAGGACAATTCTAATAAATTGCTTCCATTGAGTGCAGCTGGATACGACCGAAGAGGTCCAACCATGAACAGTTGGGGCAAAAATGGACACAATATTTGCGCTTGATAAAGGTCTGAATTTGGATTGTAATTAAATATTTGACACATAATAGGTTTCTGACACAGAATAACTGTAGTCAAAGAACTTAGAATTGGATATATGACTTGAATTAATATTCAATTTTTTGCTTTTGTGCAATACACTATGCTATGCGAATTGACCCCCCCCCCCCCCCCAAAAAAAAAATTGACCCCCCCCCCCTTTTTTTGCAAAAAATAATAATAATATTTTGAAGAAATTTTCTTTTAAATTTCTGAAATCTGAAATGAGAAAAAATTGTCCCCCCTTCCCCCACAATTTCTTTTTAACCCCCCCCCCCCTTTTTCCAAAAAAAATATTCCTTAATCAGCATTTTTATTAGTAACTTCTAAAAATAAATTGACAACTAATCACCTCAAGACAATACAACATTTCTTTATACATA